TCATAGTTTTTTCTCTGTTTCGTTTTTAATAATTTAACTATTTGACATGATTTACAACATAATTAACTGGGTTTTTTTTCAATAATAATTGGACCATTGCATAGTAAGTGAAACATTTTTCTAAATAAATTTCAAAAAAAAATTTAATTTTACATAATGTACACAATTATGATGTTGTTTTTAATATAGTACATGCTTCGACTGTTGGTTAACAATGAGATTGCCATGTTTTGTAGCAGTATTCTATACTGTCTGCAGCAGTACACTAAAGATCGGTTTGGCAAGTTCACTGGATAAAGGAAGAATGCATGCACGACTAATTTAAAGGGAATGGATGAAAATCATTGCTCAGATAAATTTAATACCTGTTTCGATTTGAAGACACATATACTTCAGCCTTCAGAGCAAAGTTATTCATGAATCACAAGGACAATATCATAAAAATCATCATCATGAGGAAGTTATTATGAACGAACAAAACGAATTTGTAATCTAGGCAGTTTCCAAAGTTAAATCTAACGATTTAAAGGTATAATTTCGTTCTTCAGTAATATGATTGTCCTTGAAATGGGATACTTTATTCAAAGCTGGTACAGAGACAAAACACACTCATAGGTTGAATACGGCCATTAGTGATCCTATTGAAACAACTCAAGGTGAAACCTTTTGTATAGTTATATGCAATTCAGAGAAAACTTAACACTTGTCTTCAGTTCGTTTACTTGCAGCTAACATTCATGTTAACAGAAATGCAATTGCAATAGTCATTCCTTCTTTTTTTATGATAACCTGAATATTGCTTCATAATAGCGAGGATGAGTGCTGTAAAATTATACCGTCAACTAAAAAATAAAATGGCAGATAAATTAACAATTAAATTTAAAAACATTATGCATTGAATAAGAATTTCAGACGGATCGCTTCAAATTAAACGGATATTTATTTATTTATTTATATCCTTAAGCAACATTTATATGTTAATATAATGATGAAATAATGAGATCTCAGAACCGTCCTACAACTTCAAGAGGGACACTCAAATTGAAAATTTTATTTTATTAAAAAAAACATGAAAGGATCCTAAGATTTGTTGCCAGTGATGATGATCTGAACATCAAAGACAAAAAGAATTAATACGCTAGCGATATGAATCAACCGCTTCTACGCCGATCAGTGGCAGAACAAAGCGAGCATTTTAAATGAAAGTTTTTCAGAGCTTAAAAGTGATAGTGGTCATAGAATGGATGAAAGCTGTCACTAACGAGTATTTCTGTGTGCAAATGTGTAATTTGTTTGTAATGTGCAATTTTGTTCTTTATTTAAGAGCTCTGAATTTGTTTATCTGTTGTATCAAGTTATTTATTTAAGTCTGTCTTATATAACGCAGTTATGTATTATATAATCCAGTTATGTCTTATTTAAACAATTACATTGTTTAGAATCTATATTGAATTGTCAAGAATAATGTTCAGCGTAATATGTTGCAAAGAATATATAGTGTATTACGTGTAGCATTGAGTTGTAAATGTGCGTTAAGTACAGTGCAATGATCAACGCAATGCATATTATGAAATGTATAGTGTAGCAATGTGTTAACATGCGATGTAGCCAGGAAAATGTTTAATTTCGCATGCAGAAAAATCTATATTTTGCCTTTGTATGGCCATATACTTTGCCCTTGTATTGTTTTCGGAGTGTAGCTTCAGTTAGTTGCGGGATCCGGACGATACCCGATTAGTCTATGTAAGCTGTTTGGGTGTCCGGACCTGCTCTCACCTGTCACTAAATTTTACGAATATATATTCGACCTTTTCATTACTAGCGCTGGTTATATTAGGCATCCACTAAATGCTTCGTACTGCTTAACACCTGTTGTATCAGTTATCTTCCAAATGCTAGCGACAGCAGTAGTTGTAGCAACGATACGTGACTTAGTTACTGCGCATTTAGGACCTCCACCCAACCCCCCAAAAGCGCCTCCCTCCCCGAAAAAAAAAAAGGATTATGATACGTGTAGAAGTGCTTTTGTTTTCTATCTTTTTGCCGAGTATCATAGTTAAAAGTTTAGTAATTGATCAGCGATAACATTACATACAGGAAAATAAGTGAATCAGATTAGTAAGTTGTTATGTTCAAAAGACCTTTAATTTTATCTATCTGTTTCAAATATTAATTAGTTCGAGAAACTTTACAATTTTGCAAGTAGATGTCTAGAACAAATATTTGTTGGAAAAATGTCCGCACCCATTTTTTCTAAACACATACGTTGCATAAATAGCAGCAAAATACTAATGGTATAATGGCATAAAAGTGGATATGAAGATGTAGATTTAACACTTGTTAAATTAATGTTAAGTTTTCTGATTAACAAATTATTTTCCAATGAAATTGCCCTGCATGGACAGAATTCGTTTACGTGGCTGATATATGTATGCAAGTTGAAAAATATGAAACTAACAAATATTTAAGATAAAAAATATATAACTATAAATTATACTTTAAATTAGTAATATCCCTTAATTCCTTTTTTAACTTGGTTACTTCCCCTCTCCGTTCTAAAACTAATTTAAAATTGCTTTTTTAAATTGGCGTCATATCTGAAAACTAAAAATTATATTATCTTCACCTTCGGAATCGCGTATAGTTCTTAACCAGTCAAATTAATGAAACATTTTAATATAAATATCACTGCTACTAACTTCTCTTTTCCCATCTTGTTTCTGCTAGTTTCGTATGGCTTTTCTCTGTCTAGAAAAGATCTAAGCCAGCGGTGCCCAACCTTGTGCTCGCCGATCGTTTTTTATGTGCTCGCCTGCCCGATTAGGTACTACGAATAAAAAATATTATTAAAATAAACATTCATTTATATTTCTTAATTCTTAAAATGTGGTAAGCATTTACAGTCATAAGAGATATCTTGCAAGACGTTATAAAATAATTGATTGCTGACTGATGAACTTGATAGAGAATATGGAATCTTATTGCTTCATTCCAATGTTTAGATGGGTCAGCAGGGAAAAAGTACTTCAACGGTTTGTGGAACTTCTTTTAGCCAATAAAGCAGTTTTGGGAATCCGGAAACGAAAGTTATAAAGAATTGGATGATAATAATTGGTTATCGGATCTGTATTTTCTCACGGATATAAAAGCTAAACTGAACGAAGATCTCCAGGGAAAAGAAAAAAAACTTTTTCAATTGACTGGAACTGTAACTGCTTTTCAGATAAAGTTAAATTTGTGGATAAATCAGATGAAAGAAAAACATTTCACCCCTTTTTCAGAATTTATCAAGCCATATTAATAACCACAAGGCAATTGAAACAGAGAAAATACTTGGAAAACCTAAATGCACTGAAAAATAATTTTGAACTCCACTTCTCTGATTTCCATAAAGTTCAACCAATATTATTATTAATCTCAAACCACTTGCCGAAATTAGTAGATGTATCACATAAGATTGGAAATATGTTTAACAAAAATGTTGATGTTTCGGAAATGTGCTCGCCATAGGCCAAAATGTGCTCGCGAGAGACCAAAGGTTGGGCACCACTGATCTAAGCTTTCAAAACTGCGGATGCATAGAGCACCCATAATATTAATATGTGAATCTGTTCTAATTACGAGAATAAATCTACGTATTAATCAACGATACTTCTGCTAAATATTTTCTTCTTTGGTATTGTGCCATCAGATGTATCTTCTAATTCTCAAGATACCTGAAAGGCTTTGTCATTCCATGCGCGCAGCTAGGAATTAACATGTCATCTACACCTGGCCACATAAATGACAGGTATAGAAAGCCACTTTATCGATATACGTGGAGAGAACAAAGAAAAGAAAAAGAAATCTATAGAAAAAGACTATATTTAGACAGTTTAAAATGCCGTAGCAATTCAAAGACTTCTTCAGCCACATTTTTCAAATTTTGAAAAGGTTCACATTATTGTTTGCAACAAACGTACATACCAACGCAATAGACTGCAGCATATGTTATATCATAATAGGATTAGGGAATAATGTTGGTAATAAAAATAAAAATTTAAATTAAAGCTACTGAGAAGGGGCTGACAAGTTCAGAATTATACAGAAAAGATGTGCGAAAAAAAATATCATAGTATCAGTGAGTAAATGTACATCGTATCAGTGTACATCTTGAAAATTTCAAATGCTGGGAATTTTCTTCTGATATTTTCATCTCACCACCATTATGTGTCGTTGATAATACGAAGTAGATTTTTCACATTGTTAAGGAAGTCTGATTAATGGGAACACAGAATCTCTTGACGATAAGAGTGGCACCGTTTGATTTTCTGTTGCAGACATCATTGATTGTGTGTCCGCAAACTGAGATGGAATTGAGACGAGATAGTTGAGCATAAGCAGAGGAGTTTCGCTCCAAGGCGAATCAGTGACGGTGTAAGAAGCCCTTAATTGCAGAAATAAATATCTTTTATCGTTAGAAGTTCAGGAATAATTATGATCGTGTGCATTCAGAATAATTACGATCAGTCTTACAATCCCTTTTCAGGGCATTGGAAAATTCTGTTTTTTCTTTAAAAAATTCAGTTTTCCACATTGTTCTGGAGTTTTATTTGTCTCAGTGAAGTTAATTGTCTTTCTTGGCAATAAATAGGTCTATCTATCGTTCAGATAATATTTTGTACACTATTAGAAGATACTTCACATGTTTTCTTTATTCGTTAGTAATGTTCTTCCGCTTGATACCAAAGTTGGTTGCTCTCTGAAGATGGCATTCATCACTAAAATATTCCTTTCCTCGACATCTAGCCTCATTCATTATTTCTTATATTACCCTTTATGGTACCGGTAATTAACTATTTCTGAGTCAGTCAAATTTGAATAATTCTATGATCAGTTACTAAAATTAATCTGGTTTGTAACCAAGTGGTCTGTTGGATGATGTTGGATCACATAACATTTTCATATTAAATTTACATCACTGATGAGCATTGAAGATAACTATATTATTCTTTGTTTAGGTGCTCGGAATCCAACGCGGTGGGTACCGCTTTCTCCATACATTCCTCCTTCTACAAGAGCGCCGGTGACAACCCCTCGCAGGCCTTCGAAGCCAGGTCCTGATGTTCCAAAGAGGCCTGCAACACATCCTCCGCCTCATAGTCCGCCCCATCATCATCCGAAGAAGCCTCGAACTTGTAACACAACGTTTGATGCCATATCTGTGATCCGAAGAGAACTTTTTATCTTCAAAGGAAAGGTGTGCATTTTATTTGAAATATTTTTCCTCTTCAGCTTCGCACACTACTTATATAGAGAAAGCAGATTGAGATTTTGACAAATATAGACTTTTCCATCAAATATCTTTTTGAGGAAATATGCACATCAGATATGCTTTGCTGATGAATTTAACGGCGAGAACGCATAAGATTTCGAACTGCAATGGGCTTTTCCTCACGTGATTTCCATTAATTATGGTACTTAAGATAATATCGAAAAATCATGTTGTCTTAACGCACGGTCAAGTTTTATTGCACAATTATTTTGATTTTACATATACAACCAAAACAAACTCATATTTTCTTAATCTGAATCATTGTTTTGCAGTTTTATAACCTAAATGTAGATTACACTTTCATAGATTTTTTTAATAGTGTGATGATTGTCTTGAATTTTCTGAAGTTCTCTAAAGCCAGAACTTCACTTTTCTTCATCTTTTGTATATAATGCTAATGCTTGCAGGTTACATTATTTTTTACAGTTCATAAATTAAATATTTATTGTAAATAATTTGTTTTGCTTAATTGTAATAATGAAGAAAATTCTTTGCGGTAAACTGGTGTAAATTTTTTAAGTCTTGCTTTAGCACAGGAGTAAAAAACTATACAACTATATTAAGTATATTTACTTTACTCTTAATATAGGAGCATACTAATATTTTTTAATAATTTATTATTATTATTATTATTATATTTTTCAATAATTTATTATTTTTAATAATTTATTTTATTTATTTATTTTAATAATTTATTATTACTATCGGAATTGTCTTCAGATTTAGTTCTGCGAAATGTCTGTGTTCCAAGCAACTATTCTCTAGGTTTTGCCAGTCAAAATCACAATTAGAAATGAATTCTAAGTACGATGTGGACTACGAAAATAAGCATCTAAAACAATCAAATTATTACTGTATTTTTATGATCGTTGGTAATATTACCTTACAAATTATGAAATAAATCTGTTCTGAATAATCATTTTTTACAAAAATTACGTATAATATTAAATTACTTACAGTACTGATATATTTTCATTGCTTTTTTAACATTTATTTTTTCTGAAGATACTTGGATTTTCTCCAATATATATCTTAAGGTTCTAAAAAATTTACATTTTTAGGGTTTATCTTCAGGGGTTTTCTAAGTTGGTGAGGTTTAAGGACCTCTGATCTTTCGCAACGTAAAGAAAGAAAATGCATTTATGTTACTGTTGAAATGAAAAATGCTGAGTAGATCACTGATTTCCAACTTAAAATATATTTGTGTTTCGGAACATTTAAAACAACTTCCTAAATTTACTAACGATGCAATAACAGTTAGGTGCTCATGAATATCTTGAAATAATGAAAAACACTCAAAACACTCAAAAGCAGAATAGTTAAGCTGCTGGTTTGACCTATTAAGTCATCGCATGAGTAATGTGATTTTTTTTTTTTTTTTTTTTAAGTAATCTTTGAAGGAATATAAAAGTAAGTGAGATACAAATTTAATCAACTATATATTCCCCATTTGACTCGATAATATTCTTGCAATGCTGTGTGTCATGGGAATTTTGTTCTTTTTCATCAATGAAACTTTGCAATCCTTGAACCACCAGTTACTAGAAAGGTTTTAAAAAACAGATTTTTTCTCACATCAATGAAAAGCAATACATTATCTTCCATCAGCGTGAGTAAGCTCATGTGGAATCCCCATAAATACTATTTTTAATAATCCTTTTTTGGCGTATTACAAATAGTTGGGATTACATTCAAAAGGCGATGAACAGTTGTTGATGAAGAATTAATCTTTTCTGCTAACTCTTCGACGCTTGCATATAAATTTCTTTCAAATGCAGCTTTCAGTGCATCGCCAAATTCGTCGAACTTATCAAAAACGACAGGCCACCCGCAGCGGCTGGCTTCCGCCAAGTTAATATCGCCGTGCCGAAATTTATAAAACCATTGCTGGCTCTTGCAAATATGCGAAACACCTTTACCACGCACTTCATCACATGTTTTACTGTATTAGCTGCACTATTATCTTTCTTATGTTTGTGAAGCAAAGCATATCTGATTCACTCTTTTGTGACTGCCATTTTCATAAAGACCTGTTAAAGTAACAAATAAGTACGCGTGTGCTTGCAAGCCAGCATTTATTTGAATGCTGAGTCTTGCATCGTACACAGTTAGGCTTCTGATCTTTGGGTAACTTGTAGCCCGTAGTCATGTCAAATTAAGTTGTCTTTGCTCCGAATAATATATATATACATGCGTGAAAAATACTTATGACCATATTAGAACATGTTTTAGTAAGTCTTTTCTGAAAAATGGCATCATTTTTGGGATAACGTAATACTTAAGTGGCTTCAAATAACATTTTGCAAAATAACTCGTTATTTCATTTCGATCTAAAACCATGGTAAATATCTTCTGTTTAAAAGGTGACTTGAAATTTTCCATCATAATGCCATTTTGCTTATTAAAACTGTGGAAAAAAAGGTATATTTTAATAAACGTTCATGAAATATCACAGAAAAAAGTAATTAAAACTTAATGAACATACGTCGTGACAGAATTTTCTTTATAATATTATATTGCCTTTTATAAAAAAATGTTGAATTCTGTGAAATGGATTTAATTTTCAGATATAATGTATTGTTTATTCTTTCCCGATCTCAGTCCATTCCGGCCTTTCTGTTCATAAGTAATATAGAAGGTTTCATTATTTTAACCTCTAACAGAGTAGCGTCTCTTTCTGTTTTACAAAATTGCTTATAAAAGGATGAGTGAAGTCCGGAAAAACGACTATGAATAAGAGTGAATACTTCACAGTATATGTCTCAAAAAATACGAATGAATTTCATTTTCCCCCCATATTTTCTAAACCGTAATATGGCAATCATCTACTTTGATGGGTAAACGAATTTAATCGTTTTACATAATTCGAAACCAGTTCTGTTTACCGTGTCATATTCAGCAAAAGCCATCTTTGACGAAAAGGACTCTTGAGGCCCAGTAAAATACCATGTAGCCTTTCACTGTATATCATGACGATTGAAAAAAAACATTTGCCTGCTGAAAATTTGATAATAAGCGCAAAATTTACTCAATATATGCGACTACTTTTTTTTCCTTTCATTTTCCGCTGTCCTTCGCAATTCAGGCAAATGTTTTTATAAGCTTCCGAACCTTCTTGCAATCATTGTTATCCACCGACATATTTAGGCAAACAAGAGGCTATATAGCTATATGGCTTCCTATTAGGATATTCTATAAATTGCTCATAAAATAAACGTCATGTAAGTAAATAACCATGTAATTATTATCGAAAAACATTTACTTCTTTTTTACCTCAGAAGAAATGTCTTCTAAAAGTATTTGGACGAATTTATGTTATGATGGAGAATCTCCATTCAGTTAGTCTCTCAAGTGCTGCACATGGAATCCAAAAGGAATTATCAGCGTTAAATTCACGCAACTTCTTTTTGTTAAAGAACAATGAAAAACCTAATTCCAGTCATACATCATCTACCAACGAAATTCGTTTTATAACGATAGTAGTGATTGTCTTTATGATTGGCACCAAAAATATTCCCAGATATATGCATTATATACCAATAAAAATTTGCATGCCAATTTTAGCGTGCATTCTTTTATTCTTTGCAATGTAAACAATTATAGTAAACCATGAAATTGAGCAAAAATATACTTTCTTTCAGCAGGACAGCGGCTAAACATTTTGCCGTCTGTATGGAGCAATCTCTTATGGGTCTTATATTCTTATGCTTGGCATCTCCCTAAATTGCAAAAATTTACTCGTCCCTAGATTCTGCCGAGTGTTTCTCTAAATTCTAAAAATTTTGCTACTCTAAATTCTACTGCACGTTACTTCTCTAAATTTTAAAAATGTTGCCGCCCTTAAATTCTGCTGCCCAGCGCGACCGCACAAATTGCTCCGGCTGTGACGTTCACTAAGTAAAATTCAACACTAAATATTGTTTCGTTTTCCATTATATCTTTCTGATGAAGACTCAGCAATGGCAAGAATGTATTTTTTATTAAAATTCATAGTATGAATCAAAACAAGCAGCAGATCCGATCTCGAAAATAGCAGGTAAAGAGAATAAAATCCCTGTTATCCTCTCGGAAAAGTGGGGTGAGAAAGCAGGAAATGAGGAAATGATTTTAAAACCAGATGGAAAAACCATATATCATAACAGAGTGATAAAACTATTTATGGAATATAAAATAGACACAAATTTATGGAGTATAAAATATTTGGATCTTTGGATTATTCTTTACGTACAAGAAATCTTCTAATCTGTCTTTCGGTTCTCGTAAAATAATTCATGAAATGTCTACAGGCAAAAGGTGTAGGAGGTGAGCGATGTTTTTTTTTTTTTTTTTTTTTTTTTTTTTTTTTTTTTTTTTTTATATTAACTTTGTCACATTGTCTTTCAAAATTTTGCAGGTAGACTGCGATGTCAGGATTTTCTGTAAACTTAGGAATGAGGTGTTAAATATTTATTTCAATAGCTGCATTTGAAGCAAAAGCGCATTAGTTAGGGTTTGAGCCAGCAGCTGTCGGGTTTAATTTTAAGTGTTCTAAGTCTAACCATAGATCTTGTTCTTTTCTTTAACGTTTTTCTAAACCTTTGTTTTCCCTTTCCTTTTTGTTGTCTAGTTTCGATTAGAATTTCTAGAAAATTCTTGGTAAAAGCTTTTTTGTAAGTGTCAGATGTGGCAGATCTTATCGTCAAATCTGACACTTGACATCTAACTGACAATCTGACTCGCATGGTATCGTTCACTTCCAAACCCAGTTTTGTATCCGAGAAGTGAAATCATTTTTTCGCGCTTTGGTAAGGTAAGCCATAATTAAGTTTTGGGAGAGGAAAAAGATGAAGCCGGATTTGCTATTGTTCTTTTTTTGATTTTATTTGCATTAAAGTAGGTTTACCTTTACACTATTTTCCAATTAGTAACTAGAACTATACCTTTAA